TTCTACTCCCGTAAGGATTTACACCCTCGGAAACCCTGTACAGGGTCGCTATGGGTCGGAACCGACTCGACGGCACTTAACAACAACAACAACAATGTCTGCTGTGGTGCTGTGGGTTACTGCACTGGACTGCAAAGCCATTTGAACTGCAAGGTTGGTGGTTCAAGCTCACCAGCTGCTCCTCGGAAACCTTATACAGGGTTGCAACTGACTCAACGGGCACTTAACAACAAGAACTGTCTGTTAACTTCTTCCAGATAAATGCAGTTCACGAGTGATTTGCATAGACTTCAGCCTTAACTGACCTACAGTCACTGAACAGCTATAGTAAGAAAAATGTCACCCAACAGCATTAATCTTGAATAATTCAAAATAAAATGGTGATCTCTCATCTGCCATTCTGTTGCATGGTGGTGGCTTGTATGTTGCTGTGATGCTGGAAGCAGGCTCATGTTTGGTGGGCTGATGTCAGCACAGCTTCTATACCAAGATAGACTATGAAGAAGGACCATGCAATCTACTTCCAAAATGCTGACCAAAGAACACCTTACTCATAGCACAGGAACTCTATGATATAGTGCTGAAAGATGAAATCCTCAGGTTGGAAGGCACCTAAAATACAACCAGGAGTTGCTGCATCCTCAAAATAGAGTTAATCTTAGTGATATAGCTGGAGAAAGCTTTCAGGATATTCATTTGCTGATGTGACATGATTCAAAATGAGAAGAAAATGCTGCAAATATCCAATAATTATCAGCATATAGAAAGTACAAGTATAAATCCAGGAAAATTTGAAGGTATAAAATATCAAATGTCATACAGAAAATCAATATACCAGGCATCAGTGAGTTGAAACGGACTGGTATTAGAACATCATATGCTCTACTATGTTGGAAATGACAAAGTGAAGAGGATTAGCATCACATTCATCCTAAAAAAGAACATCTCAAATCTATCCTTAAAAGGAACACCCGTTAATAAGACTATTATTCAAATTCACACACCAACTACTAATGCCAAAGATGAAGAAATTGATTAATTTTTTATCAATTTCTGCAGTCTGAAATTGATTAAATATGTAATTAAGATGCATTGATAATTATTGGTGATTGGAAACTTATTCATTGCAAATGCCATAAAAGATGACTGTTATACACGTGGTTCTTACTGGAAGGAAGATACAGGAATCAAACGGACTACATCAATTTGTTGTGGTAAGAGATGATGGAGAAGCTCAATATCATCAGCCAAAACAAGAAACAGGATCAACTGTGGGACAGAACATCAAATGTTCATGTGTTGTTGTTGTCAAGTGCTGCTGAGTCAGTTTTGACACATAGAGACCCTGTATAAGGTTCCCAAGGAGAGGCTGGTGGACTTGAACCATTGACCTTCCGGTTCAAACTGACCTTGTGGTCCAGTGTTTATCCACACACACCAGGGCTCCCAAATGCTCACATGCAAGTTAAAATTGAAGCTGAACAAATTTAAATTAAGTTGAAGAGAGTCAAAGTACAGTCGAGTATATAACACCAGAATTTAGAAACCATCTCATAAACAGAATTGACACTAATGACTGAGGCCAGACAAGTTGTGGGATGACATTAAGGACATCATACATGAGGAAAGCAAAAGGTCATTAAAAAGACAAGGAAAAGAAAAAGACCAAAATGGATGTCAGCAGAGACTCTGAAACTTGCTTTTGAACATAGAGAAGCTAAATACCTAGAAGAAATGATAAAGTAAAAGAGCTGAAAAGAAAATTTCAAAGGGTTGCTTGAGAAGACAAAATAAAGTATTATAATGAAATGTGCAAAGACCAGGTTTTAGAAAACCAAAAGGAAATTACATGCTTGTAACTTCTCAAGCTAACAGAATGAAGAAAAAACTCAAGCCTCAGGTTGCAATACTGAAAGATCTAAGGGTTAAAATGGAGTGCTGGTATGGTGCTGCAGGATCAGCACTGGACTGCTAACCGCCAAGGTTGGTGTTACAAACCCACCAGCCACTCCTTGGAAAGCTATACTGGGTCACTATGAGTCACAACTGACTCAATGGCACTTAACAACACTGAAACCAACAAGGGCAAAATGTGAATGAAGAAGGAAGGAAGGAATACAAACAGTCCCACTACAAAAAGAACTGATCCATGTTCATTCATTTCAGGAGGTAGTATGTGATCAAGAGTCAATCCAACAAAGCTAAGAGAAGGGATAAGAATGTAGGTGGATGGAAATAGGAACCACAGTGAGAATCAGGATAACTGTTATTTTATGGAGGGTATTGTAATCATTGAGATGAAACAAACTGCATGATTTGTCGAATGTAAAGCTCATGATACTGTTTGTACACCTTCACTCAGTTCACAATACTAACTTGAAAAAAAAAAGAGGATATCCAAACTACACTGAATGCGTAAAACAAGGCTCCAAGAATTGACTGATACTAATAACAATTGAGAACTCCTCTATGCAAAGGAACTTGAAAGGAAGGTAGCTACCCGGCCAAACAACAGGAGGAGATCCATATTTGTGCCCATTCCAAAGAAAGGTGATCCAAAAGAATGCAGAAATGACTGAAGAAATTATTGAATAATGTAATTAATATCATGCATACGTAAAATTTTGCTGAAGATAATTTAAAAAATGGTTGCAACAATACATTAAACAGATTATCATGACAGGTTCTGGAGAGGATGAGGAATGAGGGCTGATGCCAGATGATCTTAGCTGAAAGCAGCGATCACCAGAAAGATGTTTACTTGTACATTATTGACTATGCAATGCATGAATCATAACAAATTATGGTTATCCTGCAAATAGTGGAAATTCCAAAACACTTAATTGTGTTCACTGTGGAACCTGTACATACACCAACAGGCAGCTGTTTCAAACAATACAAGGAGATTCTGTGTGGACACAGGAAAAGTGTGTCTCAGGGTTGCATCCTGTCATCATTCTTGTGCAAACTGTATGTTGAGCAAATAACTCAAGAAGTTGGTCTACATGCATAAGAACACAGCATCAGGACTGGAAGATGACTCATCAAAGAGCTGCGATATGCAGATGTCACAACCTTGCTTGTTGCAAGTAAAAAGGACTTGGAGCACAAATGATGGTCAATGGCTATAAGCTTCAGTATGAATTACACCTCAACATAAAAAAAACAACAAACAAATATTCTCACAACTGGATCAATAAACAACATTAGGCTAAACACTGAAAATATTGAAGTTGTCAAGGATTTCATTTTACTTGCATCCACAATCAATGTCCATGAAGCAATAGTCAAGAAGTCAAACTATGGAAGATTTCAGACTATGCAGACGCACTAACTACATGGGCCCTCTACAACAACGAACCAGAGACCCTAACTGAAACAGACACAAGATGAAGCCTGAACTTCAAAGGAAAAGTTAGTGAAGTGGATTGAGTACTTGGGAGAAGCTGAACAGGGACAACAAAAGAGAGAGACTGAATGGTGAACAGCTGGCCAAATGCAGTCCAACATCTTGAACTTTTGAGCAGTTTTGGTGATAGAAGAGAAGGCCTAACAGAGCAGATTAACATAAGCGACAGGAAAAGTGAGATTCCTTCTTTTTTTCCACGCTCCCCTAGTGATGAGGTACGGCTAGCTACCACTTTTATCCACACCCAGTGCAGGCCCTGCTCGCCTGGAGTTTGGAGCTGTGTGGTTGTGAGCCACACCAGTGTGAGGCAGGGGCCAGCTGAGCTTCTTTGGTGCCTGGATTCAGACAGGTTCAGCTCCAGATCTACAGAACCTGCAGAGCCACCAGAACCAGACCAGCATTAGTCATAACCCATCACTCTTCCCACAGCTGCCCTGTGGTCCCAATACACAATGAAACCAGCTCCAACAAAAACCTCTACAAACTACTTCCCGACTGAGTGCCCTGAACACAGGTAACACTGAGACCTATAGGAACTCAGTTAAGGACAGGAACTCTGCTGTCATTTACCTCCCATACCTACCTCCTGAGCTGGCAAAAGCCCTCCAACCCTCCCCCCACTCCCCCAACCCCAGAGTTTTCTCCTCTCCAGGGTCCAACAGTTGCACTGATTTTT